CGCCCCCCCCCACCCCCCCCCCCCCAGCCCCACGGATCGGGGGGTCCCCGGGGGGCGCACACCCCACATCCGGCACCGACGAGGCCTCCTCCGCATCCTCCGCCGCCTCCGACATGGGGACGCCCTTGGGGGGGAGATTTGGGGTCCTCTCAGATGATGGGGACCCACACGTCTTGGGGACCCACACATCCTGGGACCCACATATCCCAAAGACCCCAGAGTCTGGGACCCACAGATCCTGGGGACCCCAAAGGCTGAGACCCACAGATCCCCAGGACCCACATATCCCAGGGACCTTGGAGTCTGGGACCCACAGATCCTGGGGACCCCGGAGTCTGGGACCCACAGATCCCAAGGACCCACAGATCCCTAAGGGACCCCAGAGTCTGGGACCCACACACCCCCGGGACCCACAGATCCCAAGGACCCACACGTCTCGGGGACCCCAGCATCTGGGACCCACAGATCCTGGAGACCCTGGAGTCTGGGACCCACAGATCCCCAGGACCCACAGATCCTGGGGACCCTGGAGTCTGGGACCCACACATCCTGGGACCCACAGATCCCTAGGGGACCTCGGAGTCTGGGACCCACACATCCTGGGACCCACAGATCCTGGGGACCCCAGAGTCTGGGACCCACAGATCCCTAGGGGACCTCGGAGTCTGGGACCCACACATCCTGGGACCCACAGATCCCAAGGACCCCAGAGTCTGGGACCCACACATCTTGGGGACCCACAGATCCTGGGGATCTGGGACCCACAGATCCTGGGGACCCACAGATCCCAAGGACCCACAGATCCTGGAGACCCACATGTCTTGGGGACCCCAGAGTCTGGGACCCACACACCCCCAGGACCCACAGATCCTGAGGACCCACAGATCCCAAGGACCCCAAAGGCTGGGACCCACACATCCCGGGGACCCACATATCCCCAGGACCCACAGATCCTGGGGATCTGGGACCCACAGATCCTGGAGACCCACACATCTCAGAGACCCACAGATCCTGGGGACTTTGGAATCTGGGACCCACAGATCTGGGGGACCCACACACTCCTGGGACCCACACATCTTGGGGACCCACAGATCCAGGGGACCCACACGCCCCCCCCCACCCCCCCCCCCCCAGCCCCACGGATCGGGGGGTCCCCGGGGGGCGCACACCCCACATCCGGCACCGACGAGGCCTCCTCCGCATCCTCCGCCGCCTCCGACATGGGGACGCCCTTGGGGGGGAGATTTGGGGTCCTCTCAGATGATGGGGACCCACACGTCTTGGGGACCCACACATCCTGGGACCCACATATCCCAAAGACCCCAGAGTCTGGGACCCACAGATCCTGGGGATCTGGGACCCACAGATCCAGGGGACCCACAGATCCCAAGGACCTCAGAGTCTGGGACCCACAGATCATGGGGACACCAGAGTCTGGGACCCACACACCCCTAAAGGACCCCGGTCTCCAGGACCCACACATCTCAGAGACCCACAGATCCTGGGGACACCAGAGCCCAGGACCCACATATCCTGGTGGACCCACATGTCTCGGGGGACCCCAGTGTCTGGGGCCCACATGTCCCAGGGACCCACAGATCCCTAAGGGACCCCAGAGTCCAGGACCCACACATCTCAGGGACCCACATATCCTGGGGACCCCATAGTCTGGGACCCACAGATCCTGGGGACCCACACACCCCAGGCGCCCCCCAACCTCCCACCTGAGGGGTCCCGGGGGTCCAGGCCCCACAC